GATGATGATGATGATGATGATGATGATGATGATGATGATGATGATGATGATGGTGATGATGATAGTGATGGTGATGGTGATGGTAATGGTGATGGTGATGGTGATGGTGATGGTGATGCTGCTGATGATGATGATGATGATGATAATGATGATGATGATGATAATAATAATAGTAATAATAATAATAAATAATGTTATCTATTTTATAGAATATAACATTTTATAGTTAAATTTATCGAATTATTTTTTTAGTATTATTTATTATTAAAATGTAAGATTCTTATATTTCTCAATTTGATATTTTAAGATTATTTTTTTTATTGTTAGATGATAAAAAAATAAAAAATAAATCTATATATAAAAATATAAAAAATAAGAATAAATCTTCAATTAAAAATTATATTATATATAATTTTTTTATTATATTATAATAAAAATTTTTTGTTAAATATAATTTTTATAATAAAACAGTTGTTAGAATTGGTTAGCTCAAATATTATTTTAATATGTATGAATATATTTAATATATAATACTTTTATCATAATAGAATATTGGGATTGTTATAAAATTTATAAATATTTATTTATTTATTTATTTTTATTTATTTCAGTTAAATAAGAAAGATTAATTTCATTTGCATTAGAAATTTTTTAATAATTAATGAATTTACTTCACGATACAACTTTTTCATTTTTGTTAAAAATATATTTTATACTGTATTATTTTATATTATTTATTAGAAAAATGTTTCAATTAAAACTTTCAATTCTATTATTATAAAAAATTTTAATTACAAATTCAGTTAAGAGATTAAATGTTTCAATTCTAATAATTAATAATTTCTATAGCATCATTATTTTAAATTAGTCCGTGTGATGAATAATTATCAATAATCACCATTTTATCAATTATCAATATGTTAAATATTTTATATCATAATAAATAATTTTAACAAATATTTCCTCGTTTGATGAACAATGTGTTTTACATAATCATAATAAATTTGCCTATTGAAATTTCGAAATCGATTTTGATTATTCAAATCCATCGAATTTTTTAATAACTCCAAAATTATTTAATAACTGCAAACACGCAATTTATAAATATTAGCTTTTTATGTAACATGGAGCCTTTGCCAACAATGTATCGCGTCACTTCAGTACAAACATACTTATAGCCTTGAGCGACTTATAGCAGCTGTATTTTTTTCCTTCAAAGTCAAAGACGAATCTCTTCCGTATGTTTCATATATTATGTTGTATTATTATAAAAAATTGATCATAATGACATTCGAAATGAATCAAGTTTTTCTATGATCAAACAAAAGAAATAAAAAATAAAAAAATAAAAAAAAATGTATCGTAAAAAAAAATCTCTTCTATTTGCTTATTTCTCATGTGTCTTATCATAATCGGCAAATCCAAATCAATATCACGTTTGAAATAAATTAATTTCTTCTACGATCAGCCAGAAAAGATTCGTCAAAAACGTGATCTAAATCTAATGCGGCCAGGCAAAGTTTCAAACTTTAGAATTCAATTTATTTTCACTAACAATAACATTTCAATCGATAATGCTTTTGATATTTACAAATATCTTCTTCTAATTATATTGTTTACAGATATCTTGTTTACAGATATCTTAATGGTTCATCCGCAAATCAAATGGCAATAAGAAGGATAAAACTTTTTGGTGATCAAGTCGAACAAAACATTCTTACGTACAACTGTCACTGCCACCAGAGATAGCCAGATGTTTTGTCCTTGAGACTGATGACGAATATCTTGCATCTGATTCTAATTTAATATGATGTAACAAATTATTATCGATTATCAATTATTCGATAGTTATCTTGTTTCTTCCTTTTATTTATATATATATATAAAGCAGTGATATGAAGATTACACATTTATTCTTATTGTATCGAAATTTTAATACAATATACACTTCAAACTTTTAACGTTTCCCTTATTTGAAATCACTCTCACGAAATTTTAAAAATTATGATTACACATGATATGTTTTCAATGAAAGTTATTCGATGTACATACACGATATATAAATTTATATTGTAGGATACCATCAATTAATAATATATTCACCAAATATAATCCTCGTTCACTAAATGAATCGTTTAGATATTATGCGTACGATTTGTTCGTATTGATTAACGTAGTTAGATAATGCCGAATCTGAACGCACACTGATTACTATTACTCCGGCACGCATCATTCTTCGCCGAGCGCCGAAGAACTAATAAAAGCTGGGATCCAGGTTGAAACTGCGTAGGTTGCTTACTACTCCTTCCACCGCGATCGAAGTTCTATCCCACCAGATTGGGCCCCGAGAGGCAGAAACAAGCAGAAAAGGAGGCAATAACGGACGAGAACGGACAGGCGAACGCGCCACAGATGGACAAACGAATGAACGAACCGATTCTGTAAGATGCAGCAGACATACAGACTTCAACAGGTATAGACGCAGGTATATACGTCGCAGAGCAACCTGGTAGGAAACCAGCCGGCACTGATGCTGCTATTATTGCTTAGTGCTCCTGCTGCATGTTGTTTTCTTGCTCCTGCTGTAGTAAACGTCACTCGGTCAAGGTCCCCTATCAAAAACCTTTACAACTGTGGAATCTTTTGATGCTAACATACGAGAGATCTATTTTCTTTGATTTTACATTTTGATATTTTTAAATAAACAATAATGAATTAATTAGTTTCAAATTAAAATCATTCATCAAAGTGAGTAAATCTTGATTCATTTAAGAAACTTTGTTCTAAATAAGATGAAAACAACATTATTTAAAACGAAATTTGTATTAAATATTAAATATTTAAAACATATTCATATTATATTATTATTCGTATTATTATAATTTCATATTACAATAGTTATATTATATTAATGAGTTATATTAGATAGTTTTATAAGTTTATCAAATATAATTAATAACGTAAAATATACAAAGCATTTATTTTTTTAAATAAAATTTTTATTATAATGCATTACTTAGATAAAAAAAGTTAGTAATTCATTAAAAGAGAAATATATATACATATAAATTTATAGAAAAATTTCTACTGAAAATAATTTTTTCGGTAAAAAAAAAATTTGTTACTAAATTATTAACTGCTATCATTAGTTTTTATTTCGATACTATGAATTCATATTACGTACGATTCGTAGTTTATGAAATATTTTTTCTATGATATATCATATTTATAATTTAATTTATGAAATATTTTTTTCTATTGCATGATGCAATAACTTTTAATTTAACATAATAAAGCTCTATTATATTCAAATTCTTTATGATATTTAAATCTATTTTTTTTCATAAAGTTTTTTTTATTTATAGATATTTGTTGGCTTTTAACGGCAAGAAATTTTTATATAATTTTTATATAATTTGTTATAATAATATTTATTATAATATTTATATTATTTAACTATTATACTATTTAAATTATGTTAAATATATTATAATACTATTTAATACTATTTAAATTATTTAAATTATATTATATATATGGTGATAAAATGAATATAAATATATATTATACATATGTATATTATAAGATTACAAAAACAAATAATAATTAATCATATAAAAAATTGTAATTAAATTATACATATTTTTATTTCTTTTCATTAAATTTTTCAGTTGCATAATGTAAACGCAATTAAACATAAAAATCTGTTTATTTTTTTATTTTTTTATTATATCATTATTTTAATTCACAAAATGTCTTATTTAGTGTAGATCTCTATATATCTTCTTTAATGAAAAAATGTTAATGACGGTTTTTTAAATTCAATTTCGTTTATATTCGTCGCAAGAATCGATTAACATGTGGGCGAATAGCAGAGGATGACTCGTTCGTTAGTTGATGAGTTAGCTCATAGTCAATTATGGAGTGTGTTAGGTTGCGATTGAGACATCGGAATCGTAGGCGACTTGTTAGAAATAGAAAAAGATATTATGCGTGATTTCAAAAATAAATTTAAAATTTTTTTAAATTTTATCAGAATTTTTTTATGTTTGAATTATTTATTTTATTTTATCCTTTTTTTTATTAATAAAATATTGAATATTTAAGAATATATTAAATTCAATATGTTCATTGCATTATTGAATTGAAGATTATATCAAAATTTTTTATGTTTGAATTATTCATTTTATTTTATCTTTTTTTTATTAATAAAACACTGAATATTTAAGAATATATTAAATTCAATATGTTCATTGCATTATTGAATTGGATATATGTAATTTTTCCATTAATTGGAATATGTAACTTTTTCATATATTTATTTTTCATTTATTTTTTACTTCTAGGCAATAAAAAATTTTACTTTTAAGTGAAAAAATAATATGAAATAATTTTTTTCTATGTTTAAAAAATTACATATATGTATAATCATATCAAGATTAAAAGATTTTTAATTTTTGCAATTTTAAAAAAGTTGAAAAGTTAATTAAATTCTACAATAATTCACATTAAATTAAAATAATAAATATAAAAAAATATATAATATTAATAATCAAAATTATTAAGATATATAAAAAAATTATTTTTGAATGTATTGAATATACAAAATGAAAAAAACATTTTTGAAAAATCGATTCTAAATGCTAAAATAAATATAGAAATTGATACAAAAATGTTAATTGAACAATTAAATTCATTAAGTTATAAAGTTATTTATTAAGTTATAAAATTATTATATTTATAAATAATTTATAGCTAAGAGAGAACCATCTAATTTTATTTCCATCTAATAAAATTGCTTATAACTTAATAAATAAATTATAATAGAATTGACATTTCTGTTTATTTTAGTTTCTAGAATTAACTCTTCAAAGATAATCTACAAATATTTTAACATCCTATGTTTTATAAAAATATCTTAGAAAACAAATATTTATTGTTGTAATTGTTCACTTTAGATTTTATAATCTTTAATATTGTATATATTAATAAAATGATTCTCGAATATATAAATATATATATAAATTATAACTATAGATATATAAATTAAATATATTATATTTACATGTAAAATTAAAGAATTGCTTAATTTTCGAATTTTGTCGATATTTAAATTCTTATAAAAACAAATTGTACAAAATCATTTAAATCTTTATAACAAAAAATCATACAATAATGATTTTAAATTCATTAGATTATAAGTTATGAAGTGTAAAATTTTTTTTTAATTTTTATTTAAATAATTTTTATTTAAATAATTTTTCTCAAGAATGTTTCTTTTTTTGAATCAAATTCAAATAACTTTATAAATATTAAAAAATTTTTTTAGGAATTAAAATTACCAGATTTGAAAATTGAAATTTTTTTTTAAAAATAATAATAAAGATCTTTTAAAACTTGACATATGACTTTTTTTCGATTCAATAATTAATCATATTAGAAATATTGAATGCAATATTAAGACAATAAGATAGAGATATAAGATAATAAAATAGAAATACAGATTTATCAGCTGATTGACTGATACATTTCATAATTTCTGGAATTTAAATTAATTTAAGAATCGCCGGAAGTGTTTCCATCAAACGCCGTATTGTTTCATTCCATTTAAAAAAAAAAAAACGCAAACTTAAAATGCTTATAACTTAATTGAACCTTATTGAATATATATATATATTCAATATATATATTGAATATATATTGAATATATATTATATATATACATATAATTTTTTTTTTAATATTTTCATGAATCCTTTCTCTCTATCTTATATTTTTATAAATATTTTCAATATAAAATAAATGTATAACAGATATATAACTATATATAATATGTCGATTTTAGAGCATATTGAACCAAAATAAACACAAAAGTTGATATACAAAAATGTTAATCGCGAATACGATCTAAATATAACGAAGATAAATCTCATTTCCATTTCCGCCTCTTTTTATCTAATGTAAACTTCAATTGCTTATAAAAATTGTCAATCTTTATACAAAATAAAATTTTAATATGATAAATATGATAATAGAAATGAAATAGAGTTAAATAGATATCTTATTCTTCAAATGTAATAATATATATTATACTTTGGATATTATATATTTTTTTGTATATTATATGTAATCTATAAATTTTTGAATATTTAAATATTGCATAAATATTACCTCTCTTTATAATTTAATAAATAAATCGCAATAAGTTTCATTTTTATAGGAATTCATATTTGTTTTAATTTCTAATTCATTTTACAAAAAATATAATATCTTATATTAGCATCACATATGTATATATAAAATTATAGTTGAAATAGATAAAAAATTTAAGGACTAAAATAAATAAATATATATAAGTAAATAAAAATGTGAAAAAACATCTGAAATTAATATAATATAATCTAAATTTATTTTTCAAATTATAAGCAATTTAATCTTGCATTAGATGAAACAACAATAAAATGAAATAACTCTTCGTTTTGTTTTATCTAATGCAAAATTAATGCAATATCAACTTTTATGTTTGTTTTAAAATTATTTTTAAATTTTAAATCTTATAAATTTTATATCCATTTCATCTGAACATGATATTTATAAAAATTAAGTTTCTTATTGCTTGAGATTTTGAAATCTATTATACTATTAGAATAATAATAATATTTCATTTGAAAATTCGAATACATGTCTAGATATTATTCGCTTAAATAATTCATACAATTATTGAATGAAAGAAAAACTTCAATTTTTTAGAAAAATAATATCTGTTAGCTAATTTATAACATTTACATGTTATAATTTCAGGTTTGAAGATATACAATAATAATAATAAAATTTATAAAGTATTTATTAAAAAAAAAAGTTTTTTAATTAAAAAATATTTAATTAATATAATAAGAAAAGATACATAGAATTAATTATATATTTTATTCAAAATTTCTTATAACAATTCAATATTCAAAAAATTTCCTCAACATTCTGAAAACTTTCTTGTATCAATAATGCAATTATCAATGATTAAGGATCAATCTTTTTATTTTTCTTGATTGCTCTGAAATATTTAAGTTAGCTATGGATCGTCAGTTGTAATATCAAGTTGTTCAATGTATTATAATTTGCCTAATTAAATAGACAAATTGATATTGGCCGTTTGGATAAATAATTAATCTTTTGATTAATTATTTTATTAATCGACTTGAAAGCATTATTATATTATCATTACATTATATTATATTTGTAAAATTATAATTAATAATAATTCTTATTCTTATAAATCAAGAATAAAATCATTCAAGGATTATAGCATGGGAGGAAATATAAGATCAAATGAAAGACAATATTAGAAAAATTAGTTTAGTTTCAAAGTTGCTTGAACTTATTTTCACGAATTTCTTAAATAATCAATTAAATACTATGTTCAATAAAAATTTAAATGTATTGCTGAAATAACTAATAAATCTTCTATGATATTTTTTTCTATCTTATCAATTAACAATTTTTCCTAATATCTTATAAAACATTGCAATAATTTTTTGTGTTCTTCCTTTTAC